AACCCAGCAACCATTAACAAAAATTTTAGTAGCTTGTGGAATAACAGCAGGAGAGATTTCCTAACAAATCAAAGAATCATGTCAAGCCCAATAAAGTAAAAAATAAAACTATAAAGACACTTTAACACAATAACTCTGATATGCACCTCAAAATTCTCTGTACCCCATTCTTCCAAAAATTCCAGTATAGGGTATGCTGCTGATCCGACTGTTATATACACCATCAAGGCAAGATTCTTCACCAGTCCACATGCCTAATGGCACCACCAAATTATATCATGAGTGCTACATGATCAGAAGGGCTACATCTCTACCTATAGATTGTAGAATGTTATTTATACACAAACTACTCACTTGTCCTTCTGGTGTTTCAGCTGGACACATCATTCCCCATTGTGAATTGTGTAACTGGCGTGGTTTTGCCAATTTTCCTGGAGAAAAGCATACAATAATCAGGGTAAGTAAAAAACAGTATCAACAAGTGATAGTGTAGCAATATGTGGTTGGCGTAGTCAGCAGCAGGACAAGCAATTGAGTAATATATAGCACAGTAAGCAGTTTTACCTTCACGCCCGATTGGAGAGTTCAGTCTTCGTAAGTGTGACAAAGTGGAAGCATATGTCAAACGATTTAAGACCTATGAAAGAAAAGAATGAATGTCATGCATTACATAAAGGCTGGGGAAAAGGATTATGCAACACTTCAAGTTCACCAAAAAATCTGTAAGCCTAGATAATGGGGTAAGGAGAAATTATTGCATGAAATCCCAGGATGTAAGAAAGCAATCAACTCTAACCTGTGAGACTCCAGCTCTTGTACCAGCAGCATTTGCTTGACCCCAGTTTCCTGTAGCGAGCGAGTATTTAAGTCCACTTGTAATAGTTTTTGCTTTGATAGCAAATTGGAGGTTAACATCCTTGCCATTATCCACACACTGTAACAGCCATAGCAGGAAGTTCATAAGTACAAATTCCAATTCCTACCGAATAAATTGCAAAACAAATTTAGAAAACAATAATTATGAGTAAGAACCTTCTGCACATAACTTCTCACATCCCTTGTTAGCTTCCGGAAAAGCTATACAACAGAAAATATAACAAAAAAATATCATCAATCTGGGAAAAAAAAATAATAATAAGGAGGATAGAAAATGATTTTAAAAACACCCAAACTAGCATCAAACCATTCTAAAGAGTCCTCCAAGTAAAGGACCAGCAAGGTCCAGTCTCTTGTTGCCATAATGATCCCTATCATCTTCTGCTCTCCGGCCAAGTGCACAGAGAAGAAGTCGGTGAATGATATATCTGATAGAAGCACCACTGATTCAGTAAATGAATTCAAAGACAACATAAACACAATGGCACACAGAGACTATACCAAACCTACCCAAAATAGTAAGCTTTCTTTGTCTCACAAAAATCTCCAACACCAACATGAGGAAGCATTTCCTTTTGGAGGATCTCCTTGGCATACCTGCAAGAAAGAAATAAGCATTTCCTTCAGCACTGCAGAAGTCCATAATGAACAATCAAGACCCTAGCAGAGTTCATACTTAATTCTCTTCTCTTTAGTTACACCAACAGTTGCACCTCTCTTGCCAATATAGTCTAGCGCCACCTGTGATCAATGACGATGACATAGCACATTAGTAAAGTACAAACAAGAATGCAATGGATGGAGTTCAGTAAGCAAAAGATAAAGATGCAGTTTTCAAAATGATAAATTAGATTGGGTAAAATTTGGAAAAAGGTGGTAAAGGGGTAAGTCACCCTCATCTGGAAACAATAGTTCAGGCAATATCAACTAAAAGCAAGGACAGTCTCTCTAACAATAATCAATTCTTCTAAACCATACACTAATCAAGAGAAAAAAATGGTAAATACAAAAGAACCTGTTGATTTTGGATCACAAATGCTTCTTCCAATGAAGGTCGAAGCAACTCCATCATTTGGGTATCAGAAAAGTCATAACATATGTGCTCAAGTATGTCCTTGTCAGCAACAAAACCCAAAGCTCGAAAGACAATTATTATAGGAATTTCAGTCCGAATGTATGGAAGAGTGGCACGGATGTACTGTCCTGAAGAGCCCTACAGTTAACAGATAAAAACCAATAATTTTAAAGAATAGTTGCTTCCGCAGATAAACTTAGTACCAGCCTGTTCTTAGAAAAGAATCCCAGGATGCTACAAGTAATTCCTCTTACCCCTTTGGCACTAGTACGAGAAAGCATCCGCACAAACATGGTACTTGGAGGTCTGTTCTGGGACTCTGCCATGGAACGTACTTCTGCCACATAGGCATACTTGTTGGGCTGCCTCTTCTTGAAAACGTAGACATGATTGGTGCTCATCTTCTCCTGAGCAATCAGAACCTTCTCGCTCCCATTGATAATGAAGTACCCACCTTGATCATATGGACACTCACCAAGCTCCGTCAAGTCCTTCTCTGAATTTTGATATAATGTGCAATAACTTGACCGAAGCATTATTGGAACCTAATTATATTTCCAAATATAAAATATAAGCGAGAAGTCCATTTTCAGATTTAAATTCATCCATCTATTCAAGTAGTTCAATTTACACACCTTGCCAATGAAAACCTTTGTCAAATCTTGAGTCTCAGTGACTTCTTCACCATCATGTCCCTTCTTTATAACTCTCTTGGTAACATCAACATATAAGGGAGCTGAATAAGTAAGATTCCTCAACCTCGCAGCTTTTGGAAATAAAGTTGCTGTTTCACCATCAGACTCAGTCATCATAGGTTTACTTAGGTAGATCTGCCCAAAGCTAATCTTATATATTGTCTGCAGGAAAATAGATTCATTCAGAACCCAAACATGAAACCATGAAAATATTTTAACAGTCTAAGCCCCAAAACGAGACTGCTTTTCTGCTTCTAAGCTATGAAGAAGCCTCAACTGAATAATGCAACAAAAAATCCTCCAATCAACCAATAACCAAAATTTACTTCTTGAAAATCCATGAAAACATAAAATATAAATTAAACTTTCCTATTAAAATTGTTCACAATTTCACAACCAAATTTAAAGCAAACAAAACCCAGAAGATGGCCACACCAGCAAATTGGATAAAGTTTGTTGATTCATCAAAGAAGGTTAACACTAATTAAGCTTGCAATTAAGCAACCATAGACCTTTCCTTTTAGACACAGTTGCAAAGGTTATGAGTTCGAATTAGCAAGACTAGCCACGATTTTGTCCCCTAAACAATCAACAAGGGACTCCATGGGAGACTCGCCTAAATTTCAGCTAACAACTAACTGTAATTTGTAAACCGAACAAAACTGAAGCAAGAAGCACCAGAAATTTCGTCTCTAAGGAAGAAAACATGACCTCGGCAAAATCAGACTGGTGTCCAGGATTGTGCTGAGACTCAGGACGGATCTCAATATCGGCAGATTCATCGACGATTTCCTGCATTGTGTTCTGGATAAACTCGTCAAATGAATCAAGCTGTTGCCGCACCAAACCTTTCTCTTCGAAATAGGCAGAGATGACAGCCCAGGCATCCTCCTGTGTTATGTCCTCCTCATCATCTTCCTCTTCCTCCGGTTGATGATCGAACTCGTTTTCGTCCTCCATGGCTACTGTTCTTCAGGGAGGTCCAGTGGCGGTGGCAGAGTCTGGAGATCTGTCCTTGAACCCTTGCAAAATAGGATGGATAATTGTTTCTTGGTCACTTTAACTAGGGTCAGCTGTGGCGAAGGCGGCAGCCGTCCGTGAGTCGTGAATTCGTGACTCGGGGTGACCCGACAAACGATATGGGTTCATTCGGATAGTATCGTGGGCTCGTAGCGGACTTTGGAGGCCCATCCACTGCAGGGCTTCAGATTTCAGTTCATCGGTTGCCCGTATATAGACTTCTGTTTCTTTCTTTTTTTTTGCCTACTTAAGATAGACAAATGGCCCATTAGGAGCCTGAATCAGGCTTGTTGGCCCAAATATCTACATATTTGTCATTATTTCGGCCTAGGCATATCTATCGTGAAAAAAAAAAAATCAAAACGTCTCGATATTAAAAATATTAAAAAAAGTTAAGACATTCAATTATAATTATTAAATATATATAGGATATAATTTAGATCTTGATTTAATCAAATTTATTATGTGATTATTATTAGATATCTTAATATTTTTAATTTCAAGATATCTTGATTTTTCTTTTTCTTTATTTATTATTTTTTTTATGAGCAACACATTTGTGATAGGAGAGAAAAGAGTGGTTAAAAATTTGATATTTTAAATTAAAAATTAAAATTTAACTTTGAAATAGATTGGTTGATAGTTATTTTTTACGTATCATCTATTAAAAAAAATTAAGACATTTTATTATTTTTAATGTCAAAATATATAATAATAAGTATTGAATAAACTTAAAACTTACACTATATCCTGAATCTTGTAATTAAACGTCTTTAATATCCGGACGTTTTGTTTTTTCCTTTTCTAATCACCTATTATTTGATGCAAAAAAAAGAACATGTTTGTCATTAAAAATTCAATTTTTTAGTGTACCTAAATGGGAGACTTTTTGATTTGAAAATTTACTTTATTCATGGGTCATTTAATTTATGGCGACAAGAATTTGGACGAACTAATTTTCAACTACTAAAAGGCTTCTACTTTGTTATCTTTAAAAGGAAACATTGATTTCAGATTAAAAATGTAAAAGTCCCAAGGTTATTGGGAAAAGGTATACCAGTTTTACATCTCATCTAGAAACTTCTGACGTGGGAAATAATTCCAGTACTGAAGTAGATTAAATAATAGATATGGTGCCGACTACTCTAGCCAATTGGTCAGCTAGAGGAAATGCCAATTTGTATGCCATGAGTAGGAAAATTTGGTACAATCTGTGCGGCTTCAACGTGGTAGTTGAACAGATTCGGCACTAGAGAAGATACCACAAACCATAAACACCCATGTAGTCAAAGCAAAAGAATACCATAAATTGGTATCAGTATTGACAGGTTACCAAATCGTTTCCTTGTCTTCCTAACGCTGCACCCTCCTACTAAAATCCCGTCTATATTTGCTCGCTTCGATTGTCTGTATGTTTCATCACATATGTATTTGTTAAGGCGAAATTCCACCTTCCATGACTAAGCTGAAGAGGCTGTTCACCATCATCCTAAGGCTCCTCGCCTTGGGTGCTACCACTTCCGCCATCATAATCATGGTCACTAGCCATGATTCCACGGAAGTTCTGAACCTGAAATTCACAGTCAAATATAGCAACTCTCCCACTTTCAAGTAAGTTATCTATCATTATTCCTTTTATTTGTAACAAATACTTACATAAAGGTTTCATAGATTCAAATCTGAAACTTTACAGTCCTTATATATTACCTTTTTGGAATACAGGTATTTTGTGATTGTTGAGGCAATAGCGAGTGGCTACACATTGATGGTTCTCTTTATTTCTCCCAAAAGTGTGTTTTCGCCATTGGTTGTGGTACTAGATATAGTGACAACATTACTACTAACATCAGGCATCTCGGCAGCTCTGGCAATAGCAGAGGTGGGGAAGAAAGGGAATAGTCACGCCGGTTGGTTTCCCATCTGTGACCAAGTTCCAAAATTTTGTGACCGCGTCTCCGTGTCCCTTATCCTCGGTTTCGCTGCGCCCATTGTTTACTTTGTGCTTAATCTGTATTCTCTTCATCCTGTCTTCAACCCTCTTTTTGCTGTCAAGCCTTAGGCAAATTATGGAGATTTAGCACTATTATATATCAGAAAACTAAAGTGCAATCTACACAGGGCGCTACAGCACTCTCATTATTTATTGTTCCTCTTTTTTCTTTTTCTTTTTTCCTTTTTTTAACATGGATAATTTTAGAGCGAGGAAAATTTTTTTTAAGTAATTGATGGAAATAGAATTCTTAATCTACTTAAACTTAAAGTCTTAGATTTGGTTGATAAATCAATTGACTTGATAGGCTGATTCTATTAGGGATGGCAACGGTCCCTACAGGGGCGGGGACTCCCTTCCCATCCCCGTCAATGACGGGTACAAGAATCCTTACGGGGATTTTTGGATAAAAAATAGCTTTCATCCCCATACTCGTAGTGACTAGTGAATGATAGGTTCTTGTGGAAATTTGGAGTTTCTACCAAATAAAACTCGATACTCGTTTCTCGTTTGAAAAATTAATTTAAGATAGAACGAATTAAGAGTTTAAATGAGTCTCAAAATAATAATATGATTATCGTTCAATACGATTATTGTTCAATACGAATGCGAGAAAGAAGCTGCGCAGGCATGTAAACAATGAAAACCGTATTCTAACAATCTTGTGAACAATGGGAGGGAAAATGAAATCAGAAATAATAAGGCCAAAAGAGTGAGATCTGCTTCACCTCAAAATAAATCATCAAGCACAAATACTCAGATACTCACAAATACACACAACTCAGACTCATGCAAGCTGCAAGTAGCCGATTGAAGAACAGAAATAAAGCCAGTGAGCTCCAATGAGCTACAGTGCAGAGGAGAGGAGACCAGAGTCGGGAGAGGAGGAATCATAAAGCAGATTCGTAAATCTCAAAAATTTGAAATAGTACTTTTAGTTCTAGGGTTACTAGTAAATTGGGTTGGGCTTGGGCAATTAATTTTAAGAAGATAATGCAACTTGGGTTGGGTTTGGGCAATTAAGTTTAAGAAGATTATGGGTTGGACTGGACTATATAATTGGGTTTGGAAAAACTAAAAAAAAAAAAGATTAGTTAATTAATTAGGTTGAATAAGTAAAAATTAATTATTAATATATTTAAAAATGTATATATAAATAAATTTATTTATTTATTTATTTTATATGGACTTCCATGGTTCCTCACAAGATGGAAAAAATTCCTCACAAGATGGAAAAAATTCCTCACAAAATTTCACGAAAAAAAATGCCTCCATCCTCCCCCACAAGGAAAAATATTCTCAAAATCCCTATTCGCATGACAAGAAAATCTGCGAAGCTTCTTAAGTCACAGAGGAAATTGCCATCCCTAGATTCTATTATATATATACACTTATATATATTGTTCCTTGATTTCTCTTCTATGTGTAAAACAAATGCCCTATTGTTCTTTTATTTCTCTTTTATGTGTGAAGCAAATGCAATGTGTGCTTATTAATGGGTTTCTAAAGTGCAGAAAAATTCCTTTCTTGTTCAATGCAATGTAAAATAATAGATACAAATAATTGTGACTTAATTACTAAAAAAATTTTGAGCCTGATTTTATTAATTAAAATTTAATCTCTTGAAAAGGCATCAATTACTAGACTGAGAATATAAAATAAATTTGTTTGGACCTAAAATTCAGTTGTAATATTTTTACGGGCTTTAAAATTTAAACCGAATATTTTGTTCCAATGTTAGCATATCCACAATCTCATCACAAAAGGACGAGAGTCGCTTTCTGAAATCCCCGCCACCAGTTGCATAGCACAGCCGACCCCACCGTCTCTGACGAAGATAATCGGAGCGTTCACTTACCGGTAAAGGCCTAAAAAATCACCACCATCATAGCCAAACTTGTAATAGTAAAGGAAAAGAATAGACGTACAACTTCTGGGAAGAAGATGGTCTGTGGAGTTTTGGCCTTGTTTATTCCCTTGTATTCAAAGTTAAGCTCGAAATATGATGTTGGAACAGCTCCGAAGCACCGGAATCATAATTTTCCGACGTTCAGTGTTCAATGCTCAAGCTCTAGCACAGAGTCACCAATATCTGCTGGTAATTTAATATGATAAATTCCTAGAACATTATGCTCTTTTGCATTGCCCAGATGTTCAGATTACTTAATTTCGAGAATATTGTTAATGATTGTTGATGGGAAGTGTAAAGTTTGTAGATTTTCATCAGGGGTCTTGTCTGAGACTTGAATTAATTTGGCGAGTGATGATTTGAAGTGAATTTCATGTACAAAGATTTCAGTTAGAAATTTGAGTATATATATATGCTCAATTCATAGCCTGGTTGATTTTCTCAAAACAAATAGGGAAGTACTCATGCTTGTTCTATAGATATCTATGTGAAGTTGATTTGCTTGTTGCATGTATGGCAGATAAACTTCAGGATGATTCTTCCATGACGGGAGGTGCATATGATTTCAAAAGAGCAACTAGGTCGCTTACTGGGGAGTCGCTATCGTCACCAAAGAAGGTGACTCTTATAAGGCATGGACTTAGCTCTTGGAATGAAGAGGGTAGAGTTCAGGTTTGTCAGCTTGCCTCTCTTTGTATAAGTTCATTTTTGTTATTTTTGTTTGGTACAGCAAGAGTTATAAGTTGCAATATTATAATTTGGATGTCAGAGTCAAGTTCAAGCGTTCTTAAGGAACTATTTTTATTGCTTTGTTCTTCATGTTCATTTTCACTCTATATATCCATGTTCCCTATCCCTTATCTTTGTTTCTTTAATTAAATTTTCAGCTTGAGGATCTTGTATGTCTTTTGAAGAGTATATAAAAAATTGAAAAAGTGTTGTGCAATCCAGAGCGCACTTCTGATTGCACAACACTTACCATTGCATGGGGGGTGGGCCTTGTGATATTGGCTCCTTCCCCCATCCAATGGGCTTTGTTTTACAATTCGATGCAATTCAGACTGCAAAACAGGGGACTCATAAAAAATTATTAAAAAATTAGTGAATTATGTCTTGAAATTCCTTATGGTAATCAAAATACAATTCAATTTAGACCATGCAAGTTAAAAGTTGAATTCCCTATCAGAAGTCTCTACTTTCCATTCATTCTTTTCTCATCTTTCAGCAATGAATCAGCCTTAAACTAAAATTTTAGGACTTGTTTTGATTGCTAATGCAAAAAAAAAAAAAAAAGGGAAGGAGGTGAGAGGGGTGGATGGGTACTTCCCTTTGAGTTTCTTAAAATCCTTTCCCACAGTAGGCTAAATTTTTATTGCCAAATGTTTGTGCAGGGAAGCTCAAACTTATCTATCCTAACAGAAACTGGAGTGAGACAAGCAGAGAGGTGTAGGCGAGCCCTGAAAAATCTGCACTTTGATCAGTGTTTTTCGAGTCCAATATCTCGTGCTAAGGTATGGTTATGATTATTAAGCTTGTTTATATTCACTTTTTCCCTTTTGATGATTTTGAACTATGAGTGATTCATGCAGTCCACGGCCGAAGTTATATGGCAAGGGAGGCAAGAACCACTGGTTTTCCTTGATTCACTGAAGGAGGCTCATCTGTTTTACCTCGAAGGCATGAGAAATGGTCTGTTTCCTGTTCTCTTGTTCGTTTGATAAATTCAAAATCTTGACTAATCATAATATCAGTTGCTTAATGTGTGATCTAGACTTGTATTCATAGTTGACTGTTAGAATTAGTTATGGTTTGATAGGTAAACTGCTTTCTTGTTTTGGAGCCTAGTGAAGTCAATTAACTTCTTGGGATTTAAAACAGTGCTAGCCTTTTATTGTTTTTATTTAGTTCTATATATATGTATGAGGCTAAATCATGTTCAGAATATGGAGGCAGTGGATGCTAGGCAGATATATCCGAAGGAGTATGTGACATGGAGAGAAGACCCAGCTAATTTTTATGTTAATGGTGTATACCCCGTGAGGAAACTATGGGAAACAGCTAGAGAGGCTTGGAGAGAAATATTGGTCACTCCTGTATGCTCTCTTCCCTTTCTGCAATTTTTACTGCTAGTCTCTTCTGTTTCAAGTTAATTTTGATTGACGTGCAAGAATCTTTGGCATTCATCAGGGAGAAAACTTTCTGGTCATCACTCATAAATCAATTTTGAGGGCACTGATCTGCACAGCTTTAGGGCTAGACCCTGAGAGGTATGGTGTTCTGAACATAATTACTGACACCATGGAGTCAAATATGGGTGATTCTTTCTTTTATCAGTTTAGCATGAGACTCCTGCTACTAGCACATTGCTCACATTTTTGGTACCTCTCTATGCAATTTTAGGCATTGTTTTGAACTCAAATTTCTTTGCTAGGTTCATTGTTAATACTTGCTCAAGTAATCCCATCATAACTCTTAGACCTAGTATGACTGTCACCTTCCTGCCCTATTAACAGCATTCAATCCTAACAGTCCATTTTTTATGCCTCAGGTTCCGAGCAATTGATGTAAATAATGGCGGGATATCTGTATTTAATTTCAACAAGAGAGGCGAAGCAATGCTTCAGTCATTGAACATGACCGCTCATATGTACAGTGATCATATGTACCATTACTAAGTACTTGACATTGTGTACTCTAGTAGTAAGTAGGCCGCTTCCAGTTCCACAGACAGATGACAGTATTGGATGAAGTTACATAGCATGCATGAAGTGATAAAGAGTGGGGAAAAGACTTGTCCTTTCCACTTCAGCTATCTATATGGTTAAAATCTCCAGAGTTTTTACTGTATACTCTTAGGCACAGTTATGATCCAAAGGAACAGAATCAAGTTCTTGATTCTCCAATGTAGACAATGATAAGACCTTGCATTATTTGTCATGTTATTCTGTTAAGGCCATGTATGCACTTTCCTAAAACTGCAACCTTTTTTGAGATAATGTATATGTTCTCTATGCTTAATATGAAAGCAGAGACAAATTCCAGATTAAACTCTTTATGTTCTCTATAGCGAGCAATGCTTTAGTGCTGGCGGTTTGTGTGGTTTTTTTTTTTTTTTTGATGGATAATCTGTGAAACGCTGCTGTTTTCTCTTTAGATCCATTTCTCTCTTTTACTTCTATGATGGCAGATTTTCATGGAAAACAACACAAACCGCTTGCAACAGTGAACCTGCAACGGTATCACACTCGCACTCGCCAGCCTATGAAGCCCTTCTCCAAGCAGGTCCGCGTCCCAGGCCGCTGCACAACTCCATGCATGGTCAGCTCATCGTCTCCGGCGCCGTTCGTAGCAGAGCCCTCCTCAACAAACTCATCAATCTGGCTTGCGCTGCTACCTCACCCACAAGCTACGTGCGCCGCATTTTCCTTTCCGTCTCAAAAGCTGATTCTCTTCTCTTCAATTGCCTTATTAAATCAACCTCTATATCCAAATTCTCTATTGAATCTGTTTTGGACATCGCCGCATGATATTAGCTAATATTTCGCCCATAAATTATACTTTCACGGCTGTGATCATAGCTTGTGCTGATTCATCGTCACTGGGAAGCGGCAAACCTGTTCATTGTCATGTTTTTATTTGTGGGTTTGGTTTGGGGCTAAAACATACTTTTAATTTGCAGGTGTTTGATCCCTTTCCTTATATTATTATGACATTTTTAATTTTTTATATTAATAAATGTGTAAGTTTTAACATTTTACTTATACTTTTAATCATTTACTTATACGAACAAAAAGTTGTTAGTTCTATTAACTCTTACTTAATATCAAGTTATAACATTTTATTAGTTTTATTAACTCTGTTAGTCGACTGTTAACATTATGTTAATATTCTGTTAACAAAACTAATGAATAAACTTAAATTTAAATTTCATGTTTTTTGTAATGGAATGTTAATAGATGCTAACAATCAGTTAACAAAATTAATACTCAACTAATAGAACTAACAAAATGTTATAACTTGATGTTAAGTGGTGATTATTTTTTTCAATTTCGATAGGTGAAGGTCTAAAAGTGTTATACTATAAAATGAGAGAGTATAACTTATAAATTTATTAAAGTAAAAAATTAAAAATATTATAGTATAAAATAAAAAATTAAAAACTACGAATTTATTAAAATAAAAAGATAAAAGTATATTTTTGCCTTGGTTTAGATTCTTACGTTCAGCTGGTCTTCCGGGTGGAATGGTTTCGCCGGTTCCACCGGGTTTGGGCGATCCAACCGCCCAAACGGGTTAGAGTTTTCAACCGACCCATTTTACCTACGAGGTGGTGGTCGAACCGGTCAGACCAACCGGTCCGGTCCGATTCTGAAAACACTACTTATACGCTAAATCGAGACATGTAAGTAGGGGTGAGCATTTTCGA